GCTTCTAGCTCTGTGAGATTCTTGGGCCGTCTTCATGCTCTGTTCTTTGAGCTCTATCCACAGATGTTTAATGATGTTTAGGTCGGGGGACTGTGAGGGGCGTGGCCAAACCTTCAGCTGGCTCCTCTTGAGGTCGTCCATTGTGGATCTGGAGGTGTGTTTAGGATCACTGTCCTGTTGTAGAAGCCATCCTCTCTTCATCTGCAGCTTTTTTACAGATGCTGTGATGTCTGGAATTTAACTGAATCCATTCTTCCCTCTACCTGTGAAATGTTCCCTGTGCCACTGGCTGCAACACAAGCCCAAAGCATCATCCATCCACCCCCGTGTTTAACAGTTTGTTCTCCAAACATACCTTTGCTCATTTTGTCAAAAGATTTCTGTTTTACCTTCATCAGTCCACAGGACTTGTTTCCAGAAAGCATCAGGCTTGTTCAGATGTTCCTTTGCAAATTTCTGACGCTGAATGTTGTGGTGAGGACACAGGAAAGGTTTTCTTCTGATGACTCTTCCATGAAGCTCATATTTGTCCAGGTGTGTCTGCACAGTAGAACAGTGCACCACCACTCCAGAGTCTGACAAACCTTCCTGCAGGTCTTTTGCAGTCAGGTTTTGATTTGTCTGTCTAACAATCCTACGAGCAGCTCTCTCACAAAGTGTTCAGCTTGACCTCCACAGTTCCTGTTAACTGCCATTTCTTACTGACATGACCAACTGAGGAAACAGCTCCCTGAAAACACTTTGCTATCTTCTTTTAGTCTTTTAGTTTTCAGAGTGCTAGGCAGCTGTTTAGAGGAGCCCATGGCTGCTGGTTGTTGGGACAAGGAGTTCAGGAGTCAGAGTTTTTATAAAGCTTTGAAATTTGCATCATCTGGCCTTTCCTAACGATGACTGTGAACAAGCTCATTAAGGTCTGAGACCCTGGGAAAGTTGTCTGAGAGCTCAGATGTCTTGGGGTGCCCAAACGTTTGCATGGTGCTCCTTTACTTTTTTTTTCCACTCTAAAATTGTACAAAACAGAACTAAAACACTGATCTTGCTTCAAACATTGAAAAGCATGTTTCATCTTTAACTTCATGCCTTTTGAAGATCAGCTCATCTTCTACTTACTGAACTATTCACCGTAAAATAAATTTTGACCAGGGATGCTAACTTTTGCATGGCGCTGTATCTGTAGGAACACGTGTTGTACTTTTTATTCAGAATTCTGTGTAACTTTCATGTGTTTTATTTGATATAAACACATTTGAGTTCAGATGTAAGTTACGAGACAAGTCACAGTTTCTTGGCTGATTTCAGCATTTCTAAGTTGTGTTTATTCAAGTAACTAAATAAAGCTTCTCAAGTACACAAATAATAAGAGCAACATCCAGCTGCAGCTAAAATTAAAACATTTATGTATTTATTCATTTATTTATTTTGCAAAATCAAACAGGCATATTTTTGTCACATGTGGACTCTGGGGCTGTTAAGAATCTACACTTGTTAAAATTTAATATTTAAACATTTACAGCTGAGTCAAAGCATTGACACCAAATGTTACATGTAAGTAAATAAGTATAATCACATGATGGTTTAAGGTAGTCAGTGTGAGTTTCAGTGTAATCCCTCACGGTCATGTGATACCTTTAGTTGTCACTCCGATCCAGTTCAGGTATCTGGTGAGCTTTTTTGAGATGTAGGTTTTCCCTCTTGCTGGGAGTCCCACCATCACTATCATGGTCGGGGAGTTGGTGAACTGGGGCACAGACGCTGAAACACACAAACACAAAGACTGAGTGTTAAATTAGTTGTGCTGCACGTGAAGTTGTGTTGATTTTCACTGATGGAGCCTGGTCAGAAAATTAAGCTTGGGAAGGAAAACCTGCTGCTGACAAAGTGAGTTCCAGGGTTTAGATGTTGTGCTGAAGGCCATCTGGACTGAGTCAGACAGGAGGAGTCGGACAGATTTGGAAAAACAAAAAATTCCGCTGATAACATTTGGATCTGGCTTCTTTTTGTTTGTTCAGCCATTATGTTTCATACACTAAAAAGGCTGCTGGACGATGGTGTAAAATTTATCAGCAACTATTCTGATAATTGATTCATCACTGCCCCACAGCTGTGTGCCTCCCCACACCAGTCAAGTTTCTCTGACAGTTTTCATCCATGTCTGTGAAAACATGCATACAGTCAGCACAGTTTCAAGGTGGACACCCAAGATTAAAGTCACCAATTCAGTATCTGACCAAATGTCTCTCCTTCTGTTCCTGAGATATGACGCTGAATAAAGGACAGACAAGTGTTTTATGCTGAACATTATGATGTCACAGTGAAGTTGACCTTTGAGCTTTTGAATATAAACTGTCATCACTTCATCATTTTATCCTGTTAGACATTTGTGTGAATTTTTTGATCAATGAATTCTTGAGTTATGGCCAAAAACCTTTTGCGAGGTCACACTGACCTCTGACCACGAAATTCTAATCAGTTTATTCTTCAGTCCAAGTGAATGTTTGAGTCAAATTTAAAGACATTTCCTTAAAGGATAACTTCAGTATTTTTCAACCTGGGCTCTATTTCCCCATGTGTATGTGTGCGTATGATTCATAGGTACAACTCGTTCTAAAATTGGTTCAGTATTGAGGGAGGCGGGAGCCACGAGGTAGATATGGGGGCAAATGCGTCCTGTATAAGTTTGCGCATTAAAAGTGCTTTTTTTCGCCACTGACCGGTTCAGATCATCAGTGCTATCTCTGTAAATAGCATACTAAGCGTTTCCCTGACCCTTCACCTCCTCCCGGCTGTGACGTCATCTCGCGAGAGCTTTGCTTGTTGCTGGAAGAAAACAGAGGAGCCATGCTGAGCGCCGCTCAGAGTGGCGCTGGTTGTCCCGGAGCACAGCTGAGAGTTTTACTGCATCGATTGAAAACAATGGTTCGTGTTTGTGCTTATCCGAATTGCAAGAACAGGATGTTGCGCAACACCCTGTACAGCTTTCATAGGCTGCCTTTGTCGGACAGCGAGATGCTGAAGTTGTGGCTAGTTGTGCTACAAATGGATGCTAACACTCTTGTCCAGACACTGCGCCTTGCAGACCATCGGGTCTGCAGTGCTCACTTCTCCCAAGATGACTACTGCCAGCCGAAGAAGAGAAGACATCCAATCCCGAAACACCTCTTCCTCAAGAAAACGGCTGTCCCACGAGTAGAGAGAGCTACAGACACAGTGGAGCAAAGCTCTCGTGAGATGACGTCACAGCCTAGAGGTAAGGGAAACGCTTAGTATGCTTTTTACAGAGATAGCACTGGCGATCTGAACCGGTCAGTGGCGAAAAAAAGTACTTTTAATGTGCAAACTTATACGGGACACATTTGCCCCCATATCTACCTCGCGGCTCCCGCCTCCCTCAATACTGAACCAATTTTAGAACGAGTTGTACCTATGAATCATACGCACACATACACATGGGGAAATAGAGCCCAGGTTGAAAAATACCGAAGTTATCCTTTAAGATGTTCCTGAGATATCCCGTTCACAAGAGCGAAACAGCTGCAAGGTCACACTGACCTTGACCCTTGGCCACCTAAATTGAAACAGTTCATTGTTAAGTCCAAGTGAAAATTTGTGCCAAAATTGAGGAAACTCTCTCAAGGCCTCCTTAAGGTATTGTGTTCATGTGAATAAGACAGATGCAAGGCCACAGTGACCCTTGACCACCAAAATCTAATCAGTTCATTTTTGAGTCCAATAAACGTTGGTGCCAAAACTGAAGAAACTGCCTTATGGTATTCTTGAGCAAGATACTGAACCACAAATTGCTCCCGATGGCTGTTGTGTGAGTGTTAAAGCTGAGTAGCAGGTGGCACCTTGTACTGTAGCCTCTGCCAACAGTGTGTGAATGTGTGAATGTGACTAGGAGTGTAAAAAGTGCTTTGAGTGATCGGAAGACTAGAAAGGAGCCATTCAAGTGCAGTCTGTTTACCATTTACCATTATATGGTGCCACCTGCTACTCAGTAACTATTCACACACACTCACACACCGATGGAACAGCCATTGGGAGTAATTTGGGGCTCAGTATCCTGCCCAAGGATACTTCAACATGTGGACTAGAAGAGCTGGGGATCAAACCACCAATCTTCCAACTAGTGGACGACCCACTCTGCCTCTGAGCCACAGACACAGTGGCTCCGGCCGCGGCTTTCGTCAGCACGGAGTCATAAAAACAGGAAAACAACTGTGTGTCAGAACATCTTCTTCCCTCTCTCATTAATCATCTCATGACCCCTCAGATTTATCTGGTGACCCTTTGGAGGGGCCCGACCCCTAGGTTGGAGCACACTGGAATAAACTGGTGAGCTGTACATAAAGCAGTTCAAACTGGCTTCACCTGGAGCAGCTGCAACAGTAACACACAGCTCTAACACTGATGCTTCAGCACACATGGAATCAGGCGTCACAGAAGACATTTTACTGCGCAACAAGTACTTTTACTGGAGTTTTACTTGTAATTGAGTACTTTTACTCTGTTGTACTGGTACTTTTACTCCAGTAAAGAATGTAAGCACATCTTCCACCGCTGTTAATCTCAAGCAAAGTAACAATATCAGGTTTCAGCATCTGGCACAGCAGAGGACCAACTCTGGCACTTAAGAGTGAAAGTGCTGGAAATAATTACATGAGGATGACGACAAGAGCGTACATGTGGTCACATGGTGAAGCTTTAGGGTGAACGGCCGTCCGGTCTGCGCCGCTGTGCTCTGAGCCTCTCAACCCCAAAACACAAACACACAGTCTGACGCCTGCGTTAATGCAACATGTATCAACATGTCAAACTGAAGAGATACCAAACGCTTGCAAACAATATGGTATCTGTGTGTGTGTGTGTGTGTGTGTGTGTGTGTGTGTGTGAGGTGGTGCGTAAGTGACTGTACTCACAGCCTCTGCGCTGGCTCAGCCTGCTCTTCATCCATGGACCCCAGGTTTTCTCCAGAGGATTCTGGGTTAGTTTTCTCTGCGTGTCTGCCATGGCTTCAACAGCCAAGTGTGTGTGTGTGTGTGTGTGTGTGTGTGTGTGTGTGTGTGCGTGAAACCTCTGTACTGTGTGTGTGTGTGTGTGTGTGTGTGTGTAAGGGGAGCTTGAGTTAAAGAGGAGCTCTCCAGGTGAGTGGACAGATTTTGAACTCTCTCATACGATGTCAGCGGGGGAGGAGTTTGAGTCATCTGTCAGCCTGCACACCTGATGCCTGTGTCTCTGATTGGTCGGATGACCCGTCAGTCACCTTCAGTGTCCCAGTACAGCTTAGAATGAGGTCATCCACCAATCACAGAGTGAAGCTCTAAACTTTGCCCCGCCATACAGGAAGTGGTGTAGCGTGACAAACCAGTAACAACCATGCTGAGCTGCTCCTTTGTGATTATGTCAGATGACGTCTGACAGAGTTGTCATAAACCAGCTCTGCCCTGTGTGTGTGTGTGTAAGAGAGAGACATACTGGGTGTTTACTTGTTGGTTTTTGCATGTGTGGCCACCAGTGATCTGTTAAAACCACCCTGTGACCAAAGTTAACTGAGTATATTTACTCAAGTACTTCAGTACACTACAGGAGTACTTGTGCCTTGAGTATTTCAATTTAATGCTTTTTTTTCAGTTCACATAGAAATCTTTTACATTTTGCTTTACTAGATTTGTTTGAGAAAAGCACCGATCCATCAGCCGATGACGGGAATTGGCCGATTTTCAGCTTGATCAGCTGACAACTGGCGACCAGACAGAGATATATCCTGTGCCGATCAAATTTACACGCATGCGCCGCGTGATAGTTCACATTGAGACGCTGCAACCTGTTCTCAAAAGCTGTAATTTGTTCCCACGCATGATGCACGTAGTTTGAAAGCTACTGCGTTAAATGAACTAGCAGACAGGAGTGCAGCCGTGGATGTATCTAGAGACCTGGATACAGTGTTGAAGGCGGGACCCAGTTTATTCTTATGAGAGTTGCTCTGTGGTGCATGAAGCCAAAAAAGCTCAATTTCCGCAGTATAAAATGACCCGGATGATTGGCACTAGGGTTGCAACGGTGTGAGATTTTCACAGTACGATAACAGAAAATATCCCAGTTTCACGGTATCCAGTATTACAGAATTAATATTATTAGTTATTATTGTTATGAGGCAGAATGAGACATAAAAGAATGAAAATGGAAGGCTTAGTGTTGGTTGAGCAAATGTTTCATTACTATAACTGAAACTATTTTGTTTGTGTAAAAAGTCTCCCCTTTGAAAATAAATAAAGAGGAGATTCTCCATCCAGTTGCATTTTTCCCCAAAATCGTAGATAAGCTAATGTACACAGTATGATAGCCATCAACCTTTATATCATTGTATACCTTAAAACCAGTATATCACTGAAACCCTAGTTGGTCCTGCTTCTGTATTATGGGGCCCATAGAGCAAGTGCTGACTTCTGGTTAAGTGCTCTGCTAACTTGAATGGGGATAAAATGATTTAATTGAGTGGCTCTTCCAGACTTTCCAAATGTTATCAGACTGAATGGACTAAATCCTGATAGTGAATCGAGTCATTTAGCAGAGGGTTGTGACACCCCAAAAAATGTATCCACTGATTTTAAGACATCATCATAATAATATTGTCTCTGCAATGTTGTGGAGGAAAAGTAAAATAATAAAACAGAAGAAATACATTATCCATAAACGCTTGTCCTAATCAAGGTTGAGGGGAACCTTTCCTTGCCAGCTTTATAAAAAGGGAC